GCACAGGCAACGAGGGCACACGAGCATTTAAAAAAAAAAAAAGAAAAAAAAAAAAAGAAAAAAAAAAAAGCTGGGACCCCATCGAGCCCGGATCTAGACCTGGTATTTGCGGTGGCAATTCCCTGTGCCTCCAAAATCTCAATGAACAAATTGCCATGCAAAATGGAAACGAACAACTCAAATAAAAGCGCAAAAAAACAGCGGATATGGTACAAGGATTGGTAGCATTGTTGAATTTATCATACCCCATCGAGCAGGGATCGAGATCTGATATTTGCGGTGGCGATTCCCCGTGCCTCAAAAATCTCAATGACCAAATTGCCATGCAGGAGGTAGTCTGCCTGCGAGGACGAAGAAGACGGCTTCGATGGAAGGATCTGAAGGACACGTATGGCACACAATCAACATGGATCAAAGACAGACTTGGTCAGAAAGTAACAGCAAGTTGGCAACTCGATTTTTTTTTTTTTTTCATGTTTTTTGTAATGTGAACCCGGTGTGAATCGAACACACAACTCGACTTAACTAAAACAAATGAGTAAAACAGAACACGTAGGGAAAGGAAAAGAAAAAGAAAAAAAGAAAAAGAAAAAAAGAAAAAGAGCAGGGGATTCTCACTCTTTTAAACAAAAAGGGGGATAAAACAAATATAAAAAACTCTAGACTCATAAAATATTGGCTAAGACCTTGGCTAATCGTATGATTCCGGTAATGGAAGATATTATTCATCCCTCACAGACCGGATTTATAAATGGCAGACACATTCAGGACAATATACTTGTAAGTTCTAATTAATGAGATGATTAAGCTCTCTCGTCAATCGAAACAGAATGCTGCCTTCATTTTCATTGACTTTGAAAAAGCCTATGATCATGTAGATTGACGTTTTTTTTATGCCTGTTTGAATAAAATGAAAATGGGTGCGAATTCTTCATACAAATGCCACAACACGGGTCCAGGTTAATGGGCCCTTTCTCCGGAAATCAGATTACAAAGATCGGTAAGGCAAGGAGATCCTTTGGCCCCTTTTCTGTTTCTTTAACTTTCTTATCATAATGGAAGCTCTAGGGGTCAACCTCAGAAGAGTCAGAACTAATCGTGACTTAAAACGTTTGCAGATTTCAGGTATCCCAGAAGACGCTATTCCCATTAGCTCAATGTTTGCCGATGATCTCACAATAATGTTAGAAGCATCCTTGTCAAACATGGAGGGGATCCAAAGCCTAATGAGTAAATTCGCACAAGTCTCTGATATGGTGATTAACTGGGGCAATAAGACTCAAAGGTGGTGGATTCATTCAAACGATGACCGTCTTTCAGAGCTTCCAAGAATTCAGTGGCTAGCTTTAGAAACCTCGATACGCATCTTAGGAGTGTCACTTACAGCATTAGGTAAACCTGCTATCCATGAGGAATGGATTTGCAAACCAGCATTAAAAAAAATGAAGCAATGGAAAAATCAACACACTTCCATTTTTGGAAGGGCACTCGTTATTACCAATGTGATCCTAGCTTCCATATGGTATAAATCAGCCCTCTAGTTTATAAGTCGGGCACGAACAAAAGTCCTTCAACAACAAGTCACAACATTCTTATGGGAAAAAACCACAAGCGGGACAATTCCAATGGTGGCTTGGCTTTCTATAATCCAACCAAAAACGACGGGGGGTCTGGGAATCCTGGAACCCACACTTCAATATCAAGCTTTATTCATCCAATGGATAAAAAAATAAATCTTATCCACTAACAAACCATGACGGGAGTGTTGGAACAGATTTGTAGGCTCGTATTCATCCTCTCACATGGATTGAGGATCGGTTTTGGCCCATCCCAAGAGCTCACACGCACTCTTCAGAAGAAGGAGATCGGGGTAGAGCTAGAAGTGATCTTATTCTGGACAATTTGTGGGTGACGATAATGCAATATTGGCGTCTCCTACCATTCCCGATCGCTATGAGGAGATACTTCATCAACCATTTTTTGGCAATCGATGGATCATAGATGCAAATGGTTGCATCTACAACAGTTCAACCCCCGCGCCCCCCCCCCCCCCACACACACACACACAAGCTCAAAAGATTGGAAGACGCTGGAACAATTGAGACATCCACTTCGATTCGCACACCATATCAATCAAAACTTAGATCATATAATTTTCACTATACCTTTGGCTTGGGTGAAAACTTTAAAAAAAGGGTCTAAGTTTAAGTAAGGAGATTGGGCGGTGGGGTTCCAACCAGATGGTCAAGGGATGGTGGGTCAAGTGGTGCACAATCTCCCGCAAGGCTCTCTAATAAACATTTTCAAAATAAACACGAATCATTTTTTGACTCGGTTTCCTTCAGATTCAGATTGTTTTTTCCTTTTTCACTCCTCTACCGAGTTAGAGTCTTTTTTTATCTCCGCTATAAAAGGTTGGAGAGTCTTTCATCCATTGATTCCTATCCCATAACTTCCGATAGATCCGACAAAATGGGTTTGGCAAACTAGCAAGAGGGGCAGACCAATGACCGTACAATCATTCACGGTGAAGGCGGCATACAGACTGCTAAGACCAAAGATGGACATTGCAGCAATTCTGCAATAGAGATGGTTTTGGCACTTGAATTTATACATAAATTTACTCAAGGCCATAATTTTTTTTTTAAATATAAGACAAAGACCAACTAAATTTGCCTCGTTGAAATGGCAAATTGCACATCGCTGTCTCCCCACGAATGATTGGATTATTGACCATTCTTCTTTGGAATAGAGAGGTTTAGCCTCTCCATGGTGCAGTTTTTGTCTGTCCACCTTCCCAAGGAGAAAATGTAGAGAAACCATTGAGCTCATTTTTACGCAATGCCCCGGTTCAGTACTAACATGGTGCAGGTGGGATTGCACATGGCGAGAACAAACGGATCTAGACTGTCCTTGGGATTGGAGGGCTATCCTCCTAGGGTACTGGGTTCCACAGGACCTAGAGCTATCCAATTTCCAACTCAATTTTTTTGAAATCAGTAGGAAAGCGTTTTTATGGACACTATGGTATAAGAGGTGTGTTTTTGTACGTGAAGAAGTAAATAAGGAGGGACAAGAAATGAGTGAACAAATTGTCCAATTTGCACAAACAGAGATCAAAGCCCAATGGGCGGCCGTCACATCCAAACTACGTAGTTGTCAACAAAAAAAAAGACATCCAAAAGGCAATCCAAAACTTTACTACGGACTGGCCGGGGGTTTTGGGGAAAGGAGCCTGGGGGAGGTGATATGGCTTGGAGAATGGGGGAGGGAGAAATCCTTCAAAAGGGACTTCCAACCCATCTGCAAGGATTGGTTTACACTTCGTCCAGGAACTACTCTCAAAGTTCCAATCTCTTTGTAGATTCATTTCCCCCTTCTGAGCTTGCCCTTGTAGAAATACAATGTTTTGGCTTGGAGGGGAGTTGAAAAATTCAGGATAATTTTATGAGGGGCAGTGGTAGCTAGCGCTGAATGTTATTCCTGGCGGTCCCTACGGACTGAATAGGCAACAGTGGCTTCTTGGTTAACTGTGCTCATCCTTGAATGTTATCATGGGACGCTGGACCCGATTTCCAGCACGTGATGCTCCCCACTAATAGACCGGAGCCACCTATGAATATAGCTAGGGGTACATGCTCTTATCCTACATATCACCGTGTTCACGTTCGGAGGCGAACGCTAACATGTTCGCCCGAACGACGAACAAGTGCCCAAAAACATCTGAACGCGAACATAAAAAAAAAAAAAAATCTCAAAAAAAATCTGGAAAAAAATATATGTTATGTAGAATAACAATACAAGCAACTTTTGCCTTGGAGTCATGTTCAAATTCGTAGCCAATCATGAGTTAAAAATAAAAAACCGAAAAAACATTTTTATTTTTATTTTGACGAGAAAAAAAAAAATGTTCGCCCGAACATGTTCGCGAGCTGTTCACGCGAACGCGCGAACACGTTCGCCGTACTAAGCAGCTCTTATCATCACCCCTAGTTGTGTTTTAAGCATGCTTTTGTTATTAAAAAAAAAAAAAACTTCCAGATCAATATGCGTCCAACGCAAGGACACATAACACCCACGAAAGGGAGACGCTTCCGGGTGGGAAAGAAAGTTCCCAACAGGAGGACGAAAATTAAATGATACTCTCTCCCACCGGCACATCCATTAATATTGGAATGATACAGAGAAGATTAGCACCATGGACCGTGCTCAAGGATGACAAGCATAAATCCAAAATTTGTCCAAATTAGAAAAAAACAATTTTTTTTATTTTTCAATTATTAATTATCACAGTCAGAAGTGCCTTAGGACTTTCCAGCGCATGTGGGCGCAACTGCACCTGCATCTGGCCCATAATTTATATTTGTATTTATATTTTTTAACCGATTACATAGGATTAAGCAGGACCCTCAACTGCTCAATTCTACTCGGTTAAACAAAAATATAAATATGAATATAAAAATTATGGACCTCTGCTTCGTTTGGCCCTACTAGCAGACTGGAAAAGGTTTGACCCTCTTTGGTTCAGTAAAACATGGGGAAAAAAACACTACTTCGCAGCAATAACGGAGGAGGGAAAAATGACAATCGCTCAGTGGCTGAGGTGACTACTGAAGCCAGCTTTGGGAAAGACCCCGAGCTAGAATAAGCTCCAGTTTGATGGAGCTTTCAGAGTGCTGATAGACCACAATAGGTCGGATACAGCTTCTGCAACAATGAACTCCAACTGGGTCCAGTGTGGCGGCAGTCGAAGGGGTGATTCAAGGTGTGCGTCAAGCAGTTTTTCGTAAATACCACAGTCCCGGTTTCTGCTCTGATAGGGATTTTGCTGTCATGAACTTTTCCTTTTAGAGGTACCTGTGTTCGCGGTTTTGATCTAGACTTCGTAGACATGAATTTCTCTTTGGAAGTACTTTTGTTTCTCGAAATTGATCTGGACTACATAGAGACACGAGTTATAATAGTGGATGAGCTATTTGTTGTTAGAAAGCCTCCTTTTACTCTGAGCTTCAAGGTTTACTTTTTGTGGAAAGTATTTTGGTTTAGAATGGGATGTTGGACCCGGTTTCCAGCTAGGTTTAAGGAGATGCTTTGAGCAGTTGATTGGAAATTGAGCCTTTGCTCGTAAGGGAAACTGGCTGAGGCTGCCAATCGTATTCTTGCAATATCAATACAAGCTTTCCAAAAAAAAAAAAAAAAAAGTTGGTCGAGGAGATTCGCAGGCTCGGAATGGTTTTCTTTTTTTTCCTTGTTTTAATGCAAAAGTCAAGGTTGTTCTAAAGGCGGGATACCAGGCATATGACGGGCCCATCAGCAACTGAGCATTTGATCATCCCAATGTATTGCCTAACCAGTCCCCTATGAGACACCCTCCCAC